CATTCCCACCAACAGAGCACAAGAGTTCCCTTTTCTTCACATCTTCACCAACACTTGTTATCTCTTGTCATTTTGATGGTAGCCATCCTAACAGGTGTGAAGTGTTATCTCCTTGTGGTTTGATTTCAATAGAAATATCTATTCAGTTCTTCTGCTCATTTTATTTTTTAAATATATTTTTATTGATTTCAGAGAGGAAGGGAGAGAGAGTGAGAGATAGAAACATCAATGATGAGAGAGAATCATTGATTGCTGCCTTCTGCACGTCCCCTACTGGGGATTGAACCCACAGCTAGGGTATGTGCCCTTGTCTGGAATTGAACCCGAGTGCCTTCAGTCCGCAGACCGATGCTCTGTCCACTGAGCCAAACCGGCTAGGGCTCCTCTGCTCATTTTATTTTTTTACATTTAAAAAAATTTATCTTTATTGTTGAAAGCTTTAGAGATGTTCTCTCCCCACCCCCCATTGACCCTTTCTAGCTCGCACCCATCGCCTTCCTCAGGCCTTCACCACACTATTGTCTTTGTCCATTGCTTCTACTTATATGCATACATCTTTTTACTTCTTTTTTTTTTTTAGGATCACAGTATATTTTATTTTACTTATTTATTTTTTAATTCTTTATTGTTTAAAGTATTACATATAGTAGTACATATGTCTCCTTTTTTTCACACTGACCTCTCTCCGGCCACCCCCAGCCCCAGCATATGATAAAATCATGTTGGTTGATCTCTTACCACCCCCCCATCCTCCCTTGCCTTCCCTCTGAAGATTGATGGGCTGTTTGATGCTTCTACATCTCTGGATCTATTTTTGTTCATCAGTTTATGTTGTTCATTATAATCTACAAATGAGTGAGATCATGTGATTTTTTTTTCCTCCAACTGGCTTATTTCACTTACATAATGCTCTCCAGGTTCATTCAGGCTGTTTCAAATGGTAAGAGTGCTTTCTTTTTTACAGCAGCGTGGTATTCCATTGTGTAGATGTACCACAGGTTTTTAATCCACTCATCTGCTAATGGGAACTTAAGCTGTTTCCAAATCTTGGCTATTGTATATTGTGCTGGGATGAACATGGTGCATATGTCCTTTCTGATTGGTGTTTCTGATTTCTTGGGATATATTCCTAGAAGTGGGATTACCGGGTCAAATGGGAGTCCCATTTTTAAATTTTTGAGGAAAATCTATACCGTTTTCCACAGTGGCTGCACCAATCTGCATTCCCACCAGCAGTGCACAAGGGTTCCTTTTTCTCCACATCCTCACCAGCACTTGTCGTTTGTTGATTTGTTGATGATAGCCATTTTGACAGGTGTGAAATGGTATCTCATTGTTATTTTGATTTGCATCTCTGGGATGATTAGTGACTTTGAGCATGTTTTCATATGATGCAGAAAAAGCATTTGACAAAATCCAACACCTTTTCTTGGTAAAAACTCTTAGCAAAATGGGAATAGAGGGATCATATCTCAGCATAATAAAAGCCTTATATGACAAACCTACATCCAACATCATAATCAATGGGCAAAAACTAGAATCATTTCCCCTAAGAACAGTAACAAGACAGGGATGCTCACTCTCACCACTGCTTTCAACATAGTATTGGAAGTGCTAATCATGGCCATCAGACAAGGAGAAATAAAAGGTATCCAAATTGGAAAAGAAGAAGTAAAACTGTCACTATTTGCAGATGACATGATATTGTACATTGAAAACCCTAGACTTCATAAAAACACTACTCAATTTAATAAATGAATTCGGCAATGTAGCAGTATACAAAATTAACACCCAGAAATCTATGGCCTTTTTATACACCAATAATGAACTCACAGAAAGAGAAACAACAGAAACACTTCCATTTACCATCACACCAAAAAAGTTAAGATACCTAGGAATAAAGTTAACTAAGGAGGCGAAAGACCTCTACTCAGATCACTACAGGACGTTGAAAAAAGAGGTAGAGGAAGATATAAACAAATGGGAGAATATACCATGTTCATGGACTGGTAGAATCAACATCATTAAAATGTCCATTCTACCCAAAGCAATCTATAGATTTAATGCAATCCCCATTAAAATACCAATGGCACATTTCACAGACCTAGAACAAACTCTCCAAAAATTCATAAGGAACAAAAAAAGACCCCAAATGGCTGCAGCAATCTTA